TAAATTTTGAAGATGTTTTTGATCAGTGATTTTGTGAATGTCTACTGAATATAGTTTTATTGCAGATATCTAAAATGATTGGATAAGGTCTATCATGGACATTATGTTATGGTTGGTGAAGTATTTAACTTATATAATGACACCAATGGGCAGACATGAATAGCATGAAAGGTTGACGTGAGGAATTTAATCATCCGGATTGAGATAGTTGTAAGAAAAGTTATATTGCATCCTGATTTGATTCGAATTGTTGAAGTATAGAAGCTTATCTAATCAACATAAAGATTTGAGATAAATAATATGAGTTTGTGTAGAGTTTAACTTTTGGTTTAAACAAATTCAGCTGACTGTAGTATTTTTCAGTATATGTTCTATTGTTTGACAGATACCCAATTTGATTTGAACAAAGAAATTTGTTGAATGACACTTTTACATATTTTATTTAAAGGGTGTTTCGTGGGGATTAAAATTAGATTTTTAGTAGATTGTGATAGAAGTTTTTGAAATGTGTGGGACCTATAAAAGATGTGGTTAATATTGATTGTTTGACTTTGACTTAGATTGTAATCCAAACCAAATAGGCTGTTAATATTCAACAGGTTTTGTTTTTATGTTATTTGATGGCGTTTTACATTACTAAGTTTTTTTCTCTTTCATGCCGCAGTTGGTGAGGACATCCTCTTGAATCTTGCTCATCAGTACTACAAATCTGGGAACTATAAGCGGGCACTAGAACACAGCAAGAATGTTTATGAGAGAGATCCATGTCTCACTGATAACCTTCTTTTGTTGGGTGCAATTTATTATCAGGTTTTCATGCTCACAATATCTTTGTGTTTATATAGGGGGTGTTTGAGCTACATTATTTTGGTAATAATGCATTCTTAAATAGTGTATTGATGGGAAATGTATAGTTAAAAAATAAGAAAAAGTTTTTGATTTGCGTGTAATATTATTTTATTGAAGAGTGTGTAGTTAAAATGATATCAAATTACTGTTTAAAAATGTATTTTTTTAGAATAATGTGGCTCAAACAGGCCCATAATTTTATTTCTGGTTCTCGCCACGTTTTTACTGCAGGCTATTACAAGATTTATGATTATGTGAAGTAAGAGGTCTGGCTGTTTTTGTTGTTTTAGTTACATGATTTTGATATGTGCATCGCAAAGAACAAAGAAGCTCTCCTAATTAATCCAAATTTCGCCGAGTGCTATGGAAATATGGCCAATGCTTGGAAGGTACATTCCCATCATGCATATTGGTGGTGATTTCTTCTTATTTTAATTTTAATGTATGTTATATGGTCTCTCTTTTTCTTTGCAACAGGAGAAAGGCAATAGTGATGTTGCAATTCGCTATTACTTGATTGCTATTG